CCAATGTAAGCATCCACGATTCGCCTAGGCCAATCCGAGATTGGACTGAATCCGACATTGAACGCTAACATGTATAATTAACAGCTGTTTTGTTTTGAGAATATGCGTAGGACAGAGAATTACACCATCAAGGAGAAATAAACATTTAAATTATACCTGTTCATATATGAGAGATTTAGACAAATAATTGGTTGTAGGAACGACTGGCTGTTATAAAAACAAAATAGGAATTAAAGAATAAATAGTCGAACATGTGAATTTTATGCTAAGAAAACAATACAGGTTATAATTTGTTTCTTTTGATCAATCTTAATTACAACTTGCATAGTAAGTATCAATTGAAAAGATTTTATTCTTTTCGAAAGAGAACCATAAAGAATCTCGAACTAGTCCTGAAGATTTGTTTAGTCAGAATAGACAATTGAAGTTTTCAATTTAATCATAAGAAGAAATAGAGAAATCTATGAATTTTATTATTTATTTATATATTCATAATAATAAGAAAATAATATTATTCAATGACCATCCGTATAACCAGATATTTTTCTACAATGAATTAATTCTGAAAAAGCACGACGAAATTTTTGACCTGTTAAATAAAATATAAAGAATGCAAATGTATTTTTAAAATATATCATTGCAAATCCAATTGAAAAAATTAAATTCATTATTCCAATATTTAAACAATTTTTAGGTGATTTATAATTAATATAGATTTGTAAAAATAATATTGGAAATATTGTTATAGGAAATAATAAATCAAGACATATTAATGTTTTTGTTATTGAATATAAATGATCATTTTGTGATTTAACAGATATATATGAATCACATTTTTTTCCATAAACTTTTTTTCTTGTTAAATATATATTTCGAATAATTAATATAAAACAAATAATTATAATAGATAATGGAATAATAGCAAATATAATAAGATTATATATTGGCCAAATATTTTTCCAAAATAATTTATATGTTTGATTTATTGATTTACAATGACAAAGAAGTCCATCTAAGAAACATGTATTTTTTAATGGAATTTTAATAATAATTGGTTGATTAAAATAAATTAAAAAATGACAATTAGCTAAAAATGATAATAATATTAATATAAAACAAATTATTTTTGCTGTACGTTGTTGACATAAAATTTTTTTAAATGAATTTTCAGTTAAATATAAACAACGATCAATATTAATCATAACAATAATCCATATAAATAAATAACGAAAAAAATATGTTAAAAAAAATATACATTTACATGCTTTTGGAAGAAAATTTTCTACTAATATTTTATTATTAATTAAAAATGGTATAAGAAAATGATAATTCATATCAATTAATAAAATTAAAATATTTATTATACATAAAAAACTAAAATAAATATATAAAGATAATCGATTTGTCCAACGAATAAAAATAATTAAGGCAAAAAGATTACCAGTAATACCAAGAATATTAAATAGTATTGTCCATATACGATAAATCCAATGAGATATAGTTGTTAATTTTACGAATTCATCAAAACCGATTGGTAAACTTTCATTTTTTATCATAATTCAGATGTTATTTAAGCACAAATTTATAATTTACCTGTTCGATTCTATCAATGGCACAATTATATATATATATATATGAATAGAGAAAATATTCATATAGATGCTGTTAATCGATTTGTAAGTACGTAAATGATGTCAACAGAATAGCATATTAAAACTTGATAGAGCGTTAAATGGTATTTCTTTTCTTTTTTTCTACTGTATTTTTATTCATATTTATTCATCGTTATATTGATGAATCACGTTTTATTTTTGCGAGGACTAGCTTTCATAAAATGTTCATGCTGGATTTTCTTCGCAATCGTTGTGACACTTGATTGTATTTGTAAAGTTTTATTTGATTACATATTTGAAAAGTATATTGATCTTGCAAATATTTTATTTTTTATATTGTAAAATATGAAAATAAATCTTCGATACTTGTTACGAATGTTATAGCCATTTATTTGAATGTCTTTCATTGAAAATCAAAATTCAAGCAAAATTTTCTTTCCTATTTTTTTTTTGACATGGTTGGATAGAGGTTATGTTTGTTATGAAAATTATATTAAAAAATTGAAATACATCAAAAGCATTAAGATTATTAAAATTTGTTAGATTGGTTTCGTACTCAGATGACTTGTCTTGCACGAAAACCTCACCAACTGATTAAAAGCTTTTGGATTCATATTCTGATCATAAGTAGGACTTGGTAACACTCGATAAACACTAAAAAAGTTTGTCTCAACGTGCCTCTTTGGTTGCATTACGAACATTTGAAGTTTTGGCCTAGAGACGTAAATAAACTACTTATAATGCTTGAATTATAATATTGTAACATTTCTCAAGATGGTTCTCTTTATTCTTTCGTTTATATTCATTCAGACGTAGATGTTGACTCTAAATGAAACATGCCTGTCAGATCAAAATCAAAGATAAAGCACGAATAAGATGGCATGCACACGAAACAGCAGACATAAATAATTGAAGAATGCATATGATGGACTATGAAACATATACCTGAAACAATTCTATTGTATTGAAGTATTAATACATGATGCTTTTTTTCTCTATAGAAGTTAGCTCATTAGACACACATGATAACATAATTTTTACAACAGCTCGATATTTTATCTAGAAGTGATTGAAAAAGAAATTTTTCTTTTAAAATGTTACAATATTCTAATTCAAACACAAGAATTACAGATAATTTCACCAAAGTGGACTTTCCTCGTGAGAAATGTGTATAATGTACTAGTAAAAATATCAAAGCATGGTTCGACTGAATCCAAAAATTTTGGATCGAATGGACTCTAAGGAGTAGGCTTAATATTTATCCGAATTTGTTTTTTTTTTTGTTTGTATTGTTTCACTATTGAGCAAATCTGTTTTTTTTCGATATAATAGCAAAACACTATAAACACTACTTCATATTCAGAATCAGTACAAAAATCTACTTCGAAAACTGTATTCGATACTTAAGATAAGTGTTTGTCGAGTTTTGGTTTTTAAACTTCTTCGCTATTATTTTCAAATAATCTTACCTGTATGGATTCCCTAAGGGTGAAATTTGACAAACATTTGCTTTAAGTATTGAATATACTATTTGAGGCAGATTTTTATCATGATTATGAATATGAAGTAGTGTTTATAGTGTTTTGACATCATAGAAAGAAACATCGATTTTCTCTCGAATAAAACAATATTTTTCAAAAATCATCTCATATGTAAAGTAAAAAAAAAGAATGTAAATAAATGTTGACATAGTTCACTATTTTTGACCTAAGTTTCATGATGAAATAAACATTTTTAGATATAACTCGACGAATTTTATCGAGTCTAGATAAAAAGAAAAAAC